GCAACAAGCATTCTCACAGGCAGACCTGAGCCAAAGGAAGTACCACTAGTGTTACTTCAGATTGTGTGGAAGTAAATGAAAATGCTAGCTTTCATGCAGCTTATTGGAATGGTGCATCCTTTTGGTTTAAATCAAAGTATTCTATGAAGAAAATAATTTGTACTGAGAAATCTGCTGTGGGGTTCATGAAGCTATGTAATATATTCTTTATTCATTAAGCCTCATCTCCTTGCCAAATGCTTGCCAGACATACTAAGAAACAGGAGATTTTTTTTTCTTAGAGGTAGTTTTAACAAACAGGCTTTGTTGGAGGTAAAAATCACTGACGTAGTAAAGAAAAAAATTCTATATATATCACCTTTCTAAAGTCTGCCCACCTCTGTTCTCAAATACACAAATCAAATATTCCCCATCCTGAAAGAAAAAATTTCCAGTTGTCTTGGATTATCACTAAATATTTCCTAAAATCATTTAGAATATAGTTTACTTTTTAAAAATCTTTGCTACTTTATTTATCTTAATGGTTTAGAAATAAAGTCTTCATCTAGACTAAGGTCATTACAACCAATTTGCACATAATAGAGAACAAAAATGACTTAGTACCATAGTTCCCAACCTTTGCACCATGATCCAGTATTTCACAAAGGCACTTCTCATTAAAAGCAAGCACGCCCCCCTCCCCCCCTCCCATCTCCCAACACACCACTACTGGGTATTCACTGGTTACATGCTATTTTCTTCTCTCTCTCTCTCTCTCTCTTTTTTAAGATTTTATTTCTTTATTTGAGAAACAGCAGGGAGAGAGAGAGAGAGAAAGCACATGAGCAGTGGGGATGGGCAGAGGGAGAAAGAGAAGCAGACTTCCTGCTGAGCCCGGAGCCCCATGAGGGACTCGATCCCAAGACCCTGAGATCATGACCTGAGCTAAAGGCAGATGCTTAACTGAATAAGCCACCCAGGTGCCCCCTTGCTATTTTCTAAGACTATGTAAAATCTTTGGCTGAAGCTTTAATTCCACGAATGGCTGAATTACTACTCTAGTATGGTGGGAAAGGGTCAAGATACAATAGACTAAATTTCTATGAACATAAACATTATGTCACCAGGAAAGAAGTCCACTGCTGCTTTTATCCTGGTATCTTATTTTGGCACTTTTAAACCAAGAAAAATTAAAACTTGTAGGAATTTTAATTTTTTTCAAGACATACTCTATATTTTAGGTGATGAAGGAAAAACACAGAAAAGATCATGCAAACAGAGGAGAAAAAGAAATATAGTTGTTAAATGAATTAGCTGGCAGGATGCTAGAGTCCTTTATCCAAGAACTCTGAACAGAAATTTATAAAATTAGAAAGTCTGGCTTATTACATACTGTAGGTATGGAAATCCTATACCAAAAAAAGCTTATTTTTAAATAAATTCAATAAAGCCCTGCTTTCTATTAATCAAAGTGAAAGAGCTAAAATTCATTCATGGGAGAAAGAACAGGAAATCCTTTATTAATTCAGTGGGAAATACCTATTGGTAGTAGAAGCTGTTTTGGGTTTTCTCCCCCTCTAGACTCAATGGTGCTAAAGATTTCAAGGAAGCAATTTGTGAAAAGCAGATGGCCCAGTGCATAATTTCAAAATCCAAGTGTTACAGTATGATGAATTAATCACTCACTCTCTTTAATTTTTTAAAACATCTTTCTCAAGATTGTTGTAAAGTAGCTAATGTCAACAATTCAAGCAGGTTGGAGAAGCAATCTGTAAGGCTATGGAATTGCGTGTGTGTGTGTGTGTGTGTGTGCGCGCACATGTGTGTGTGTGTGTGTGTGATATAATGACCCATAAAATTCAACATCTTACAAAGAAACTGAAGATGCTGCTATCAAAAAGAGATATAGGAACATATTCATTCAAAAGAAGCCACGAAATTTCTAAACATTTTTCTTTTTATAAAGAACATGTTATTCTGACATTTGGTTATTTTTTTGGCAGCAACTTTTATTATTATTATTATTATTATTTGAGATAGAGTGAGAGAGTTTGTGCCTGTGCACAGGAGTGGGAGAGGAACAAAGAGAGGAAGAGAGAGAATCCTAAGCAGGCTCCTCACCCAGAGCAGAGCCCCAGGCAGGACTCGGTCTCATGACCTGAGCCAAAATCAAGAGCTGGACGCTGAGCCACCCATGTGTCTCACAACAACAACATATATATATATATATATATATATATATATATATATATATTACAATATAATAACACGTGGAATATGTTTAGTGATACGATGAAACAATTCTATGAGATGTATTCTCAGTAGTCTTACTGCTGTTTCATCTACATTAAGAGACACACTAAAAAAAACAAGTCATTTCCTCCTTGCCTCACACACAGGATACCATAATGTGTAAGGCAGCCAGGAAGACTGCTGTACTTCACCTCTGAGTAGAAATAACTAGAGATATGATTTCAGGGTTTTCTGAGCAGGAGGAGAGAATGAAGCAACTAGTTGAAATGCCAAGGGCAAAAAGAGTTGCTGCTCTCAGCCCACTGCCAACTCAAAAGCTGGAAACAAATCCCTGTCATATTTGTCCTAATGCATGGGGGAAGAGTGGGGTTTGTACATCTGTGTGTACATACTTGGAGTTGTTGACCAATATACATGAGGGGGAGAAGAGAGGTCAAGGTAATAACAGCGGTGAAAAAAGTTAGATTTGTGAAACCCTACAATTAATATCCCAGAGACACGGGACTTCTAATGACATGGTAGGAAAAGCACAGGCTGATGTAAAAGAAATGCCTTATTCAAGTTTGGTGAAAAATCACATCCCTCAGAAAGTCTTAGAAACAACCATTGGCTAGGAATAATTTATTTTGTTCGAGAAAGAAGAAATATTTTTCTCCCCCCACCCCCTGCCACCAATGACAATGCTAATGTAATATGCACATGGAAGTTGGACATGTAATACAAACTGGTGACACAGTCAACTTTCATACTCACAAGGCTACCACAGTACACAGATGACAATAACACAGATGGCTTTGGAAAAACATGAGTGAATGAATGAAAAGTCCTTTGTTTAACTGACTGACCCACTTTTATTGCTTATCCATTGTTCAGTTGCTTACTTTTAACATACAATTATTTATTTGAAAGGTTTCATACACTTTATCTTTAATTCTCACAATAATCCTATATTACAGATAAGAAACCTAGGCTGCAGAGATGCTGAACTCTGGGCCATTGAGGTTGCAGAGCCAGGATGTGAACCATCACTGCCTCTGTGATTCCTAGTGGGCTTGGCACATAAGCTCTGGTACATATCACCTAGTAAAGCCAACACTTATTCAGGTAAACAAGGATATCTGGAGGTGTTACGGGCTGGATTATGCCCCCGACCCAATGTATACCTTGAAGCCTTAACCCCTGGTACTTTAAAAGGTGACTATATTTGAAGATGGAGACTTTAAAGAGGCTGGTTAAGTTAAAATGAGACCACTAGAGTGGGCCTTAATCCAGTTTGATTAGTGTCCTTAGAATAAGAAGAAATCTGAAAGCACAGAGATGCCAGGGGTGCATGCCCACAGAGGAAAGACCGTTTGAGGACGTAACAAGAGGGCAGCCATCAGCAAGCCAGGAAATCAGAATGAAACCACCCTGATTGTGGACTTCCAGCCTCTGGAGCTGTGGGAAAATAAATTTCTGATTAAAGCCACCCACTCGTGGTATTCTGTTATGGCAGTCCTAGGAAATGAGTATAAGAAGAGAAAATAAATCGCGGTAACACACACAGACTGCAAAAGGAACAACAGCTCATCTGCTGTTTAAAATCAGACTGAGCTGCAGATTTCACCCTTGTTAATGAAACAGGAAAGAGCTCCACCCCTGGAGGCACCGAAGAACTGTGGCCCTGCCTGCCAGACACACCCCTTCCAGAGTCTTCCCCTCCTACCACACTCTCCACCTCTTCTCTCCTGCACACAGAAACATGGCTGAAATGTCCCCACAACGCCAACACACACACCCGAACAAGCAAGGTACATGATAAATTAAAAGCATTTCAAGGCACGGCCCAGCGTTGTACCTCAGATCTTGCTAGAATAACATGAGATTTATAAAAATACAACCCACTGGATATTTGGCACATCTTGGGAATGAAGAATATGTCCACTGAAGAGCCAATACCCCAGGCTGTCAAAAAAAATCTCAAGCCAAAATTTCTTTCATAAACATTACCTATCTTTTAAAATTCTACATTCTAGGAAGTAAAGAAAACGTCTGCTTATTTTCTAAGTCTCTTTTTGCCTAACGTAAGAAACATAAGCTACACAGAAGAAGATATCAACTGCTCAGTCAAGGCACACTGACGGGACAGCTCTGTTCATCTTGCAAAAAGCCGCCAACACTTCCAGCCATGGCCCTGGGTCACCCTCGCCCCCAACACACAACTACGCAGAACTCCCACTCCAACACCAGCCACCTCCAATCCTGATGCACACTGAAAGGGGGGTATTTACAGATTATTTTCTCAGATACCAGCCAAATAATGTTCCCGTTCACTCTCTCACCCACCTTGGACCATACAAAATTTAACATCTGGGAGAATAAACGCAGCCTCAAATGCATATGACAAGGGTGAGCAGTCATCGACGAATTCTCCTCAAGCAAAGAGGGTTTGCCAGCTTCCCTCTGAGGTCCGGGCCCTGAAAGGCCAACTGTGGTATGTTTGAGTTTCCATCAGGCCTGGTACTTGCTGGCTGCTGCTGTGTTCAGTCAGAACCCCACGGCCCAACTGTCCTATAAACATCGCACCCTTCTGCTAAGAGCTGCTCTGCTCGCCTAGCCTTGCTCCTTGGAGCCGAGAATATGCTGTTGGAGAGCTGCAGCCTGAATGTTAACGAACACTCGGAGCACAGCTGACCCCTCTCTCCTCCCAGGCAGAGACTGCTCAGAAAAAATACGCACATTCACATGAACCTAACAAGAACAGGAAGAAAAGTCCAGATTTTCCTCACCATGTGCCACCCAGCCATGTTTACACTGATCGCAAGTCCTCAGGTTAATCTTCCCCGGCTGAAAACATTCACACGTGCAGTTTACCAGTGTGCAACGGATGGCCTGGGAAAGAAAGGAGGAGAAAAAAGGATCAGCATCAGTTCAAAGGTACCGAGTTTCTTCAACATTTTAATAAATAACATCCACTTCTATTTTTAAAGGCTTTATGTTGGTAGCAGCTTGGAGAGTTTTAAAAATAAATTCGGATACCATCAAAACCTCTTACCAAAAAATGTGAAAAAACAAAGTTCATTCACTAACCGAATGTTTTGTGTCATTCATATTTAACCTTTATATTAGAAACGTAGACCAAACAGAGTAAGAATTAAAAAATCACATATTCTACAAGATGCTTGATTTGTAAAGCTAGGGATCCCAAACAGAAAAAAATAATGCTGCTACTATATATTCCCATTTAAGTCTATCCACTAAGCAATAACGCAGAAAAATACATTCTAATAAAATAATGCTCGGGTGAAATGTTGGTGAACGTAAAACATGACATACAAATACTATTATTAGAAGATTACTCTTCTGCTGAGTTTCACTTAAATGCTTTCTTAATCTATCAGATACACTTTGAAAGACACTCTTGTCAGCCCAATAAAATCTAGCATAGTTCTGGTATTATTTATCTACTCCCCAATTCCTTGTTTTTTCTCCTTTTTGATTTATTAATTTCATTTTCATTCTCATTTTTAAAAAATACAAAACAACCTTCCTTTTAGTTTATTTATTTTTTTTTAAAGTGGGCTCCATGCCCAGCATGGACCCCAAAGTGGGGCTTGAACTCACAACCCTGAGATCAAGATCTGAATTGAAATCAAGAGTCGGAGGCTTAACCAACTGAGCCAGCCAGGTGCCCCCTTTTCTTTTACCTTAACGGCAATGTAAAAAAACAAGTTTAGAATAGGAAATGCCATTTATGTAAACATCTTATATCTGTAACAATCCAACTCTCTCTTAGAAAAATGGAAAACACACTCAAAAATCTTTCATTTCTTTACAGGTACTTTAAAAAATCATCTCACCAGTTTACCTTATAAAGTGAACCCATAGAAAATTAGCATAAATGAAGTGTAACTTTTTATGGAGAAAAACCTATGCTTAAAACTTGCTAAAGCTGACCTATGCTCCTAGACTACAGTTAATAAATTTATCTCATACATTTAGTTCTAATTTGCATGGAAATTCTGAAGACAGAAGGAATTTATTCTGATCATTCACAGATTAACAATCTACTGTAACTACCAGAACTGCCAGGAAAAGATCTCTCTACAGCTTTAGATGCAATCAATGCTTACTGATTTGGGGTGGTGGGGGCCAGGGGTGGTTGTTGGAGGATAGGCATGGAACTACCTGAAATTGCAGTTCTGTAACTGAAAGCTATGCTCACTTACACAGCTTCCAGATGCTCCTATTCCTGGAACCATTTGGATTTTTATATAAACTGTCTCACTTGTAACAGACAGTATTTTAGATATTGTTAACACAGTTGGGCCAAATTTCATTTACACAGAATTAAGACTGGACGGGGTTTTACTGTTCCCTATGCTTTGCATCAGGCAAGTCTGAAGTATTTCTCTTTTCACTAATGAACATTAAATCTCTAGGTCCCAGTGCGGTTTGCAATGAGTCCTCACTATAGACTCCTTTCTTGGTTCACCTCTACCTCTCATTTGCTGCTCCATTACCACTAGGGAAACATGCAACTGTATAATGTGCCTGACATTTCAGGGTCTGTCTTCCAGTGTCAACAGTCCAATTACATATTAGCTAGATTGTAAAACTTTCTGCTGTATCCATTGGTGATTGGAAGAATTAGTAATAAGAATAGGGATACCAAAGGAAATAAATGCTGACTAAGCAAGAATAACGTATGCATTTGTAGGTTGTAGGGAGTAAATATTTCTCCAGAAATTTCTTATTTCCACTTCAACAGTTTACGAACTGAGCAATATATCAGAACATAACACCTTAGAAAGAGCTTATTTAAATATCACATTCATTAGTTAATGAACTCACTTGATTATAATATGGTCCAAAAATCCAAACCCAAACAAAACAGTTTAGAAAGCAGTGTTTCCACTAAAAACAAGGTACTTTACAAACTATCTAATTATAAATTCAGATACGGCAACCACATCAACATTAAAATATTCATGTAATCTGAACTGCAATAATACAGGCTTTCATAACTCCAAAAAAAAAAAAATCACCTCCGCTTTACCAAAATTTTAAAAATTCCCGATAAAAAGAGATGATTTCTCAAGGACTATGCGTCAACTCCAGCACAAAAGACATATATACTTTCAGTTATTATTTTGATAACATTTAATTATTTTACAAAAATAGGCTAATTTTACATTGTGTTTAAAGCATACTTTTCTCAATTTTAATTATACCTATATTTACAACAGAACAGATTAAGAGACCGTAGATTTACTTTATTTTTTTATGTATAATTATTTATTCACTGGTTGACTCACATTCATGCATTTACTCTGAACTACACTATGTTTTAAATACTTTCTCTACTTAAATAACTTTATACTTCTGGCACATTTGGGAATTAAACTTTTCAGATCATCATCTTTTTTTATGAATTCTACTCTTCTTGTACCTAAACACACAAACATTGGAACACCTCAACTCCTTTTGTATATAAACACTTAAACACTGGAATATCCATTTTGTATTTCCATGAATTCCAGAAGGTCTGTTTGTTTTAAATTCAGATTTTTATAGACTACAATTGTTCCTTAAGGGAATTATATATATTTAAACAATATGGTCTAAATAAATATTTTGAGTAAGAGACCATTGTGGCTTCAAAGGAAGTTTTATTCTAAATAACATTTTTGAAACAGCATAAAACTCTGACATACTATTTATTCACAACAAAACAGAACCAATGTGATCACTTGCCAACTCACCCACACTTAAAGAAAATAAATTATCATCACATTATCAAAGGCAGTTAAGCCTCAAAAGTGTACATGCTTTATAAGGAGACAGCTGGGAAAAGTAGAAATGGATAAGCTCTCATTTTTTGTAAGCACATTCACTTCTTCCTTCATTCAGCCAACATAGAAGTTCCTCCCACTCACTGTTGGGAACTCTCAACTATAGGAAACCCAGAGATGAAGAGGAAGTGGCATAAAGGGGATACCAGGAAAAGAGCAGACAGTTTAGTCAGACTGCCCCCCCCCCTTATTTGCAGGGATTCTCATGCAGGTCTAGCTGTCTGGCATTATCAGCCCCTCCGTGCCTCGTCAAGAGTGCTCGGTAATTCTTTGCTCAATTCTGACCTGATGAGCATTGCCAAATCCCCCAGAACAGTAACGGTAATGAATTTTTTAAAATCTGCAACTTATTAAAAGTAATTATTCCTTCTGCTTACCTTTACCATGGATTTCTTGAAAGAAAAATCCATGCACTCAACACCCACTGCTTTTACTTCTGCACCACCACCTACATTTTAATTTTGCAATCTGGATTCTGCCCGACACGTTTCTGAAACTTTCTCCAAAAGGAATGTTCTCATTAATTTTGGTCCCTTTTTCTAGTCTCCTGGTCTTCCCAGCCCTCGATGCAGATTAAGGTACGCTCTCCTTCATTCCTGGGCTGTAGAGACCAACTATCCTCGTTTTTCTGGCAACAGCGTCTCACTCTCTTTCCACTGTAAATAAATACAGGTGTTTCCCACGCCAGGCTCTCATTTTTTAATTTGGCAATTTTATCCCCTCCTACAGCTTCAAATATTATCACTATGCAAAAACCCTCATTTTGGAGCCAAGTACTGTGGTAAGTGGCAGGAAACGGATGGCAGAGTCCCTGAGCTTAGGGACCTGACAGAGTTTGTGGGCAGTGGGTGTAGAGAAATGACCCTAAAAGAACAGAAGGAAGCCCTCAAATGGGCTGGAGAAGCACCATCTCTCTCTTTTTATTCCTCTGTCTTTTCTTCTTCCAAAGGCAGGATTTTAAAATTTATAACAGTAACCTATTACCCATTATCATTAATAATAGCTAGATTTACTGGATATTTGCCATTTTCCACTCACTATGTTAAATATTTTATAAACATTAGCTCTCTTAATCGTCAGAAAATACCATGAGGTTAGTACTATTATTACCTTTATATCACAAATGAGGAAAATGAGGTGGAGATAATTCAGTACCCTGCCTAAAGACATTGAAGTAATAAAGTTACAGGAATCGAACACAAACTCTCCATCGGACTGAGAATTTGAACTGTAATCCCATTTACAGTCAGACAATCACAGGGCAGAGCCCCTCAACCTGCCCACCATTCAACCCCTGCTGTACATGGTTAACGCATGCTCATCTTCCAGATTTCAACTCCAATATTTATTGCCATGCCCCAGGGTAACTGCCTTCATTTCCTGGTCAAGCTCCCCATTAGTTTCCTGTTTCACAAGGGGTCTTTCCGTCATAGCACAAACCATACCTGTGAGCATTTATCTGTAACTTATCTTTATCTATTATCTATTATATATATACATGTATTAATACATCTGTATGATTATTTGATTAATGTCTGTCTTCCCCTCTAGAATTTAAGCTCCATGAAGGCAGGACAACACATTTGTTCAGCTTACAATATATACTGGCAAATAACAGGTACTCAAAAGGCACTTGAAGAAGTACATGATCCTCTGAGCCTCCTTCCTCATCTCTCACAGTAGCAATAATACCACACGAGAGTCAAAAGACTTAAAATAATGACTATAAAGCACATAGCACTGTGCCTAGTAATGGGAAAAGCTCAATAAATGGAAACCATTTATGACCCAAGAAACTTTCCACATATTATATTTAAATTTCCCCCCTTATGATTCTTCCCAATGTACTATTTTCCTAACACTTTATAAAATGTCTAATACATATGTAGTCTTAATGAATAAATGACACTTTGAGTAAATGACACTTTGACACACATGTTATATTATTCATACTACAATCCTCTAAGATAGGTATGACAGGGATTAGTATTTGTTTTTAATATTAAGGTTTGGAAATGTTTATATGGATATTACACG